CCCCCGCTCCCTCGCCCCGCGCCCCTGCGGCGCGCCTTCTGGCGGTGCGCGGTCGCCCCCGGGGACGCACCCCTGCGGGCGACTCGGCTGCCGCCCTGGCGGGTTCGGCGCCTCGCAGGGAGGGGCGCCAAGAGCCAACAATCAGTCCCCTACCGCGACTTGGCATTGGTTTTCGGTGGCGGCGGTCTGTTTGTTTGGGCGCCCCGCCGGAGAGTCGTCCCCGCCGGGGAGCAGCGACATCGCGCGCGCCGAAGGTTCTTCGGCGTCGCGGGGGCGAGGGATGGGGCAGACGGGGCCCCCGCCGCGGCGTGGGTGGCGCTGGCGGTCTCTCGGGCGCGGGAAAGCGACGCGCCGCCACCCACGCCGCGGGGCACAGGCCCAAACCGCCATGCAGGAAAAAAAGAAACTCGGGAGGAGGGGGAGGAGGGCGCCCGGCCACGCGCGACCCAAAGACGCCGCGGCGCGCCCCGCCGGCACGGGGGAAGGCCTCGGCCCCCGCCCGCGGGGAGGCGCACGTGGGGGCGGCGCGCCATTGCCGTACAACCACAAGCGGCTCCGAAGGGAATGCGCCGCGCGAAGCGGGGCCAGCCAAGGCGGGGAGATGGAGGGGGGAGGCCACACACACACACACACACACGCAAACAGGCACAGCGCGGCGACTCACAATTCCCTTTCGACTCCTTCCTCAGGGTTGCCATTCCCCACCCGCACGCGTCTGGCCCCATCCCGCCCCTAAACGGGCGCCGTCGGTTTCACAGCGGAACGCGTCTGGAAGAAGATGCGTTGCGGCCCCGTCGCTCCCAACTCATTTTGGAGGAGGAAGCGGCTCCGGCAAGGGCGCTCGGGCCGCGCCTCCACTTCTTTGCGCGGCGGCGAAAGTGAAGCCGGCGGCGCCCATTTAAAGAGGCGCCGCCGCACGCGTCCAGAGGCGGAATGGCCGCGAGAGAAAAAAAAAAGTCTCCCGCACACGGCCCCACCCAAAAAATAGCCCGACCGCCGCCACCGAAAACCAACGCCAAGTCGCGGTAGGGGACTGATTGTTGGCTCTTGGCGCCCCTCCCTGCGAGGCGCCGAACCCGCCAGGGCGGCAGCCGAGTCGCCCGCAGGGGTGCGTCCCCGGGGGCGACCGCGCACCGCCAGAAGGCGCGCCGCAGGGGCGCGGGGCGAGGGAGCGGGGGAAAGGAAGGCAAGGAAGAAAGAGGAGGCGCAATTAAAGAGAGCGGCACGACACACGCGCAGCCGGGGCCGGCGGGGCGCGCCGGCAGCAGCGGCGGCCCCGCGGCGGCGCGGAGACGCCGAGCGGAGAAGGGGAACAGTCGGTGCTCGGAGAAACGCCCATATAAACGCGAGCAGCGAACGCAAACACGCAGCAAAAGGGGGGAGGAAAGAAAAAAAAAAAGGACGAAAGCAACGGGGGGCGGGCCGGCAGCAGCAGC